TAATTTCTCGAAATATTGCTTAAATTACGATTTGACTATTACAATGGTAGACCGACGTATACATCAACCGACAAAAAAAAAAAATATTACTACAATACATACTACATGTACTAAAAAGCGAGCATAGTGACAAAGTAGTAACGAGAATAACTTCCCATGTTCTGGATAGTCCAGAAGATGGAAAGCCATTAGTAGTTGCCCTCTTCTACGGCAATTTGCCGGGCCTCTTCGGCTTATAGCCACTTCTTTCTTCGGCGGTCCGCCGGCTGAAACTTAAGTCTAGGCTCGTTTCGTTTCGAGACCTACACGCGACCACGACCGCGAAATTCGAAAAACCGCCGGAGAAAATCAGAGACAGGTGGAATCCTTCGCTCGTGTCCTATTCGCCGTCGATTTTTCAAATTGGATTTCCTGAAACAGGTTGAACACGCGAGAACGCACGCGACAAGAGACTGTGCCAACCTGCCCGGCCCTACTTACTTATAATTAAAACACACATACCAGAAAGTAAGCTACCTATCCTATCCAGCCGCCCTATATTTAAAAAAATGTGGCAAAGGACAAGCACACCAACACACTCGCTCCACGGTTCTCACTCACACGCTCGGGCGCAAGCCTACTCTAGGAAGAGCATCCCGGGACGCCTCCGACACCCGAGTTTCGCATTCAACTTTCACACTCTAATTTACGTACCATTTTCCTGAAATCAACTGACGATGGCTAATGACCATTGCGTAAATGTAATGAAAACATACGTATATAATTTTAATTGAATATTCACGATTGTATAAATATTCATAATGTATATATAATCTTTGAAGAGATAATATAACAAGAAGGTATACTGTGATCGTATCGACAGCAAATTTGTTAATCAAATTTGTTACATTTATTAATCAAAATTATGTTGGGATAGTAGAACGAAAACAACGCAATTCTACAGCCTAACCACACATACACACACACATACTATGTAGAAAATACGTCGTGCACGATACACTAACGCATTGTCAGTTGCTAAGAAACTGTTAGACTTATAAACTATAGTCATCATGCCCATTGGCTTTTTCCCACTCAAGTAGCACCTGAGCACGTGAGTGAGATACAGACAGTGAACATGGAAAGGGTTAAACCTGAAAATCCTGAACTAAAAAAGAAATTAATATATAATATTTATTTTAGTTGTATCTAGCGGACTATTTCAATTTCTGATGACTCTATTAGGAAACAAATACGTTTATTAGAAAAGAGAATAAGATTGAATGCAAATAATACAAAACTCAATGAGTCAAAATATCCTCAGGCGATTCACATCAAAACACATGTTTGAGAACACAAAATAATAATAAAGTGTTGTTTTGATTCTGAAATCTGCCTGCCGCGATGTGTCCTCTTGCACGTGAAAAATAAACTTTTGGATGAATAAAATTGGACTTTAATATCTCCAAATTACATGTCTCAAATTCTATTGAAATTAACTACATGGAACTAATAAAATAATTCCGTGTTATTATAAATATCTATTATTGTTAGCATTAAACTATTATACCAATATTATATTCATTAATATATCATTATTAACATTTAACAACGCGACGTGCAAGAAAACCTATCCTGAACTAATAAATTAAACACAAACAAAAGAGTGTCACTACTCATGGGCATAATAAATACCCGCGGTCACTATGCTCGTCAAGAATTCTACATAATACAACTAGCCACCCGTGTCGATTCGGACCTTTCATCCTACGACATGATTGAGTGACCAGAGGAACAAAAATACATGCGACTCACGATTAGATGCGAAAAACGTTGTCATGAATGTAATTACAGTTTAGAGAAAGTCATAGTGAAGCCTGTCGTCAAATAGGAATCGAGTGAAAAATCTACAACAAAGCATAAATTTTAATTTATTCTTAAAGACAGTGTTGCTTATTTGAAAAGTTTGAGTAATGAAAGATACGTACATTCTTGACTTTTGGCAGAAGCAGAAAGAGAAGAAAAGATTGAGAAATCTAAGAAAATAGATTTATCGATGATAGCATATTCCGTCCTGAAAAAGTCTGCTGTTATTAAAATAAATCAAATATTACGATAAAAATTCGATTTCTGCATAAAAATCTATTAGATTTAATATTAATTACCGTGATGTTCTTTTCTTTTGATTGATGATGATTTAATTTTGATGATATTACTCTAATGCTTCAAAGTTCCCTTCAATCTGTATAAAAGAAAACCAAAACTTTTAAATAAATATTATTGAAAAAAGAAATTGTACACATACGTTAAGTAAACGAAGGTAATAGAATAGAATGTTGAAAAGAAGACGATAAAAATATTAAATGTTGGATGAAATATAATAATAATATATATCCCATACGTGTCACAAACTAATTTGGTGGGATGAGAATTTGAACTGATTCCCTCAATAATCAAGACTTTCACTATGAGTATGTCATGTATTATATACATTTGTATATTAATATACAAATATCTACGTATTGTAATATTTGAAACAGATCAAAAAATACATATACAAACTAGTTGGTACAAATTTCGTCACTACATGAAAATACATACATACATATATTCACTTCTAACCATTAGACTATATTAAATATATGTAACAACTCTTTCAAATAATGCTCGTTGTAAATGTATCAAACACATCTAAAACAAATCTAAAAACATGATTGATTTGTACTATTTGCCTAACAATTTCGGAAGGATACTTCTTCTTGCTGTGCTTCCCACTTAAATACTACTTCTAACGGTCAGTTAGAACACTCAACATTATAAATCGATCAGGAGATATCGATTACAATTGAATATATCGCGATATGTAGTTGCACATTTTACCGCTTCATTGGCGCTGTAATCTTTACTCTTGTATGATCATTGCGCGCGCATTTCAAAGATGAAATATAAAAAAAGTTCCTTTCTTTAATCAATCTTATCTGTTTGTTTTAAAATTTGTTGTAACAAAGTGTCTGTACTTTTATTTTTTAAACTTTAGTTTAAGCGAAATACATACGTCTCGATTTTTTGCATTTATTAAATCGCAGAGGATAGGTGGGATAAGGGATAAATAAAATTTATTTTATTGTTTACAGCTTGCAACAGATACTTTTTATTACGCTCGATTCATAAAAAGACTTTTCCTAATAATCTATTAATTAATATAGAAATTCGTGTGTACAAAATTTTAAGTCAAAGTTAAATTTTTATCTGACTTATTCAAAATATTATTCACACTGTATTGATAGATAGCGGTATTGATCTTCTTCAGTTTGTAAATTTCTTCCTTCATTTCGAGAAGTTTTTTGGCAGTCGGATTCCCTGATCCGATCGTATCGATGTTTTTCTCCGTGAACGAGTCAAAATTTAGGATATCAGTGGTATTTCGATCCCTTGTAATCACCTCGATGGAATTCTCTTTTCCAGTATCATCCGATATTCTCTGTAGGTTGCATAGTTGCAAACGCGGTTTAAGGTCGGTGACCCGGAAATTGTCGTAGTGTTTCGCGAAGAATACTGCGGTGATTGGCCCCTTGTGATCGATTGTACGAAGAATTTGATGACTGGCTATGTCCCAAACGTGAACCTCGCCGCTGGTCGAGCCTGACACCAGGGATCGACAATCTATCGATATCGACAATGCCACCACGCTCGATTTGTGCCCATGGAAAACTATCACGCCCTCCGAATTTCCGTCGTTCCGTACCTGCACATGATGCTCTATTCCACGTGGCGGCTCGTGTAAATTGAATCGGTATATGTCACCGTTGGTGCAGCCCACGAATAAATCACTTTCGCGTGTGTTCATGGAAACGGAACTGAGCGGTACGTCGAACACAAGGGTGAGCAATAGCAGTCCGGAGCCTGGGTCGTAAACATTGCATGTTCGATCAAGAGATACAGAACACAGTCTTCCTCTCGCGCCAGCATGCCCGAATTGTAGATCCTTTACTGGCAAAGAGTGATGAGAGAAGGTGTGCAATGGCGTAGGATGCTCATCGTTCAATACGCGATACAACGACCATATAAAAATTAATCCGTCCTCACCACCGCTAGCGAAAATAGAACTGTCTTTACTAAACGACAAACAGCTCACAGTTTGGTAATGCTGCGACAGATTCTTTAACAAACGTCCGTTGCACAGTTGCCAGAGAAATAACTTTTCGGAAATGGCGGCGACGATATAGGCGCCATTGGGCGTGCAGCTCAAAGCAGTGACCTTTCCCGGCGTTGTCAGTCGAAGGTTAGATATGGGAGTATGACTGTTTAATGGCCAAACATATATACGCGGCTTCGTTAGATCCGCACCCACTACATAACTATCACTTAAGAGTTGAAGACTTCTGTGACTGAGAGCAGCAGCGTATTTGTAGGTCGATAAAATAGAACCTGTTCGGTGATCCCACACGGCCGCGCTCCAATGTTCACTGCTACTATCACTAGTTAAAATCACTTCCCTCGTATCGGCAATTCGCGACATTCTTGTTAGAATTTAAAAACCAATTGTAGTTATTTTGAGCCTTAACGTGATCCTTTGATACATGTCTTTCATTCTGACATAGTATTTTCTTGAATCGAGGTTTGAATTTCTCGTAAACACGTGTGTTATACTAGGTTAGTTTCCTACCATAGAGTATGACGTTACTAGAATTGCCCATCGATGCGTAATTTAGATATTAAAGAAACGATCCTATTGGACACTATAACTTTCCAATTATCATTCGATCATGAAGCGTTTTTAAATAATTATAATGGCTAAATAAACAATTATTTCTTTAAAGAAATATTTTCTTTCGTACATTTTTCTTCTTTTTTTTTTTTACAGAAGGAGTAATCTATATATGCAATAGAACTATAATTAATGATTGTATAACATTATATACATCAGAATATATTTTGTTACAAAAAATGAAGAACAATAAACTGTTGACAAAATTATTTTACTTATCAATATCTTATTTCTTAATCACTTTTTCTCGTTCGATTACTGAAGATGTATTACATCATAATAGGATGTAACAACGTTGTTGATTCATGTTTTCAAACATTGAGTGAACTGAGCACAAGTTCTCCCACTGACCTTGGTAGCAGTTGTATGTCATAATTTTAATTTTTGAAAATTAAACGCGGTGATTTGTCTATTTAGTCTTATTTCGAATTTTAGTTCTGTTACATTACTGGGTTTGGATGTACAGTTCTACTTGATAACAAAACTTAGAAGGACTTACTAGACTGTGAAGTACATTTGTTTCAATTTTCTCATGGGCTTTATCGATGATGAATTACAAGAGGTATCAAAACTTTGTCAAAATGTCATTGATGGTAGTCGTCTTGTTTCCTGTGTTCGCACCATGGTGCGAGTGGAAATAACGTAAGTTCAATAGTGACTGTGATAACTGAAAACTAATTCCAGATAATGTTTTATATTTCTTAATGAATTCAACTATTCACAAAAATTGTAGAAAAACTAGGTGCAAAACCATTATTGTGTGCATTCAGTTCTCAAAAGACTATCCTAATACTCCACTCTTAATTGAGTTGAAAAGCAAAACTTTGTCTGTGAAATTACTTGATGGTCTAACAGAAGTTTGTGAAAAGGAATGCAAGAATCTGTTAGGGAAAGCACAGGTAACCTATGAAATGTAATACTTTCTTATTTATAAATTTACTATATGAATTTTAATTTCATAGGTGCTACCAATATTGAAGTTTATTCGCAATTTCATTGATGAAAATCCCTTGATTTGTTGTTATGATGAAATCTCAGCTATAAAAGAGATTTTGGAGCACGACGATGAATTAAAATTGAAGCAAAAGTATTCTTGTGTCAGTTTGAAGATTCAAAAAGGTTTATATTATTTCAAAGCTAAAATCGAGGTACCAGATAATTATCCAGTTGCTTGCGTAAAGTATGTATCAATATTACTCAAAAAATAATCAGAAAGTTTATGTTTCTTATTAATAATTGTTTTATGCGTAGGTTAGAAGATGCAGATACAAATTTTCCATCATTATTTGTACGTCATTTCATAGGCCAAGGAAAAGAGTTAGCTAGACAGTGTGTAGAACCACCACTGAACAAGAAATCACAATCTTCCTTTGTTCCTTCACCATCCTTGAAAGTTGTTATTTCTTTCCTCATAAAGTATGTCTATTAATCAATGTTTCAATACAATTTACCCAATATCGTTACTATTGTCAGCTAATGTTCTTTCTTTGTTATTTAGTTCTGTAAAGACCTTACCACAAGAGCATTGTCAGTCATGCAGACAAACTTGTCTGCCACCCAACCCAGAAAATGCAGAGACCAACGAAACTGCAAATATGCATGTAGAAAGACTTTACTGTGGACATTTGTTTCACCTACGGTGTCTTGTGACATTCATGAAGACTCCTCCATTCCATGGTAATTTCCAACACTTCACATTAATCTCATGAATTGTAAATATCTCTTACTCTCTTACAGGGGGTAAAAAATGTCCAACATGTAGGCAACGTATCTATCATAACAAATGGGGCGTGAGCGATAAGCTTGCAGAAGATCGTTGGGCTCATGAACAAGCTCGAGCAAGAGAACTAGCAGAGGTAGAAGATTTCTTGAAATGAAATCTATCAATTTTATTTAAATCATATCTCGACAAATGATGTCATTTTTTTACGGAAGAATGCAATATCGTGAACAAAATATTGTTATGGACAATGAAAAAAAAAATGACTTAGAAAAGAGGACAAGAGGATTTTTAAAATAGCGTTATAATTACACGCGTTCGACATTCATGAACGAGTGTATATAGGCCAGTTAAGAGAAGGTATTTTTAATACCCTGAAGTATATTATAATATACACAAAACGGTTTATATTTATATCGCACTTTATAATAACGATATAATTGCTTAATATGGTGCTAATATTTCTAATTACCCAGTTACTTTTTTATTGAATAAATTTCGTCATTGAATTTTGTATCTGGTTGAGATACATCTATTCAATAATTTTTTATAAATTTAGGTATTTAATCATTTTTATATTGCGTATCTGAATTTGTATCTCGAAATAGTTACGAAATTTGTTTCGTATTATACCGCTATCAAACGTCACGTTTGTTAAATATTTATATCTAATTAAAATATTTGAGAGAAAGAAAAAAAAACGGTTGAAAAGAGTGTTGATATATTTATCGTATGTTGAAGTACTCACCAGTTTGGTTGCCAAGTGCCTTTCTGTGTTTTACCATTGTAACGAGAATACTGGATGTTATAAGTGTTGTGAAATCCATTTTAATATCTTGATGTTACAATCAAATTGAATTGACTACTAGAGGAAGAAATTTTAACACTAAGAATTAATTGGTTAACAATTAGTAACAAAATTCAACCGTTAAAAACTTTCAATCCTCACGGTGAAAGAAAAAAGGGCGCGCGACATTTAACATGTACTGATCACAGCGCCACTCACATCGTGCGAAATCAATCGATAATATCGATACGTCTATTTGTATAAAAATTAATTAATTAATTGGCTATTTTTTATTATATAGTAAAAGGTAAAAAAAAGAAATAAATTTTTGATAAGAATATTAGACAGATATAAAATATATTCTTCCTCAATCGAATTGTTTCCTAAATGGAATGTACTTACAAATTTTTTATTTGCGACTGTAATAATAAATATTTATGGACGAACGAATTTTATGTGAATTTTATTACAAATGAAAAATGTATTTTACGTTAACCGAGAAGAAAATTAACGGAGAATAATATTTACATTGGTGAAGTTCCCGAGTAAATGTAAATTTTTCGATAATCGATCGTCGATAATCGAGAAATGATTTCATGGCGGAATTGGCGGTTTGTGACGGTATTGGCGGGATTGGCGGCTCATGGCGGAACGAAATATACAAGACGTTTAACGTATGTATAGACCGGCTATATGTATGCTTATTGCTTTATATATTTGTGACCGTGGTTGTGACATATTGATCCTTGGTACCGACTACGGCGATCCTCTATTTATCTCGGTCTCGTGCTGGCTTTTACGGCGCAGTTTGTGCGGACATATTTTTATTTGTTCTGTAGTTTGTCTTTCTGTCGGCTGGCATTCTTTTCATGTACATGTCAGCCTGATACGACGCAGATGATAGTGTGTTTAGGTGGAGCCCGTAGAAAAATAGAAAGGTAAAACGTTTACGACTGAACTGGTTATGATAACCTAATTTCAAAATCATTTATTTGTTCTGAATGGAGTCTCATATCTTAAACCATTGATCGAAGTTCGTTGATTTTCAGCCGAGTTTCTGACATAATTTCAGGCACAACGTTCATTTCTATTTTAATTACTTAATGTACATGGCATTATCCACAAGATGTGTACAAGGACATATTATTTGAATGCAAAAATTAAAATTTGAAAATAGGATGGACAAGCTGCATGTTCAGAGGGAAATTTTGGTAACGATATTTTAAACTTCGACTGTTTTAAATAAAAGCATTCCTTCTACAATGTTGTTCAATAATTTCTTATACTGAGAATCATTTCAGGAGCCAAGGAAAATTGGAAGACAATATTAATCTAAGAGTTTTTTCATTCAGGAAGAGTATACCAGTTATATTTAACTTGGTCACCTGCTCGATTTAATTACTTTAACATGATTGGCAAGGTTTTTCACGTAGATATACGTACGTGGTTCTGGCAGACAGCCTGTCAGACTAATTCCCAGTTATCGATTCCACGCATACGTGGAAACGCACCGTTGTGTTGCATTCATAGGGTGGGTGAACTGTGTCTTTCTTACACGCCGCTTCACCCAAAAATATATTACAAGAAATAATCATTAAAATTGAAATTCCGCGTTCTATCAATTCTTGCTATAAACATTTCTCAAGATGAATATTACTGATTATTCCATCTAAATGCACTTATTATTACAAATAATTGGGTAAATAATTTCAAATTATAATATTTAAAATATAGTTATGATATGAGTTCTTCTTTTCCATATCAATTTTTTTATTCTTATTAGTTGTGTTACATTCAACTAAATGAATCGTTTCATAGAACTTTTAATTTTCTTCCCTATACAATATTCAACTATCGATTTAAATACATATCGAAGTCTAGTGTTATAATAACACGATAACTTTATTTTTATAAACTGCAATTTATAAAACTTCACTAATTCCATTAGCCTCGTTGTACAAGAGGTCCCAGAAAATGATTCAATTCGGAAATAAATTTGAAAATTTCAAACTTCACTTAAACCTAACCAATCATCAATTTTTATTTATGAAATTCAAAGTTCAATAATTTTCTGAATATTTTTGCAGTCCGTAAATCCATGACGTTATAATAACTTATATTTCTCTAAATAGGTTATAGCGTAACACATCTAGATGGATGGAATTTGACCCGTTTTTGGAACTCTCTTGGATGGAACAGTTTTAAGTAACAGTACAGTTATTCTTGATAGCACGTTCCATTCACGGCCATCGAAGAATTCGCGATTCCGGTGTCGCGGCCAAATTTCGGGAATCGTCCTTGTACACCGACGGCGATCTAGCCCCCGGCTATGCACGTACCAGGGTCGTATTATACACACGATACACCTATAATTGCACGTAGGGCAGCTTCGTCGTAACGCTTCGTGGATCGATAGTTGGGAAATGGCCGGAAGCCAAGTCCGACGACGTCGTTTCGAGTTTTGCCGTTGTCACCGTATGGGACCTAACCCTTTTCTTCAATGTCCCACTTGTATTAGCCACCCCCAACGCGGAGGCCCTTCTTGCTCCCTTCTTGTTTCTTTCCTAAGCGAGGAAGCTTCGTTTCCTTCAAGATGCATGGAGGTGATCAGTATAAAATGCTATTCATGAGTATGTGGACACATTGATCGATTTGCTTTAATAATATACGAGTATTAATAGATTGCACGAATAAGTGGGAGATTAGCAAACCAAATGTTAACATTAATGACATTTAAAAGGTTGGAATTTCACGAAACTCAATTATTAAATCCCATTAGGCTTGGAATATTTTTAATTTACAATTCTCTCGTTTTCTATTTTCTAAGAGTTTCGAATTTCTAGCTTTTTATTTGTCATTGAAATTTTACCACGAAATATTTTTTTGAGATATGCTTTAAGAAATATTAACGATACAATAGGGCTATTATATACTTCTTTTTTCATCCTACTATTCTTTTGGCGGATTTAATGGGCATACGAGCAATTATGACGGTCGGACGCGGGCTTGAGAGCAGCAGTTTTTTCACCTGCTCTCTCGAGAGTTTCGTTGTTTGTCTTCCTTTATGCGTTCAATCATCGACGTTCGAATCGCGATCCGGGTTGTGGAATAAGTGCAACGCGGGGTGCCGTTTATTCCAGTTTCTTTAAATCCTCAAGGGCAGCAGCGGGGAAAACAGCCTCCGGTGAAATAGCGATATCGAAATATGATGCTATGTTTAACCAGTAGGGTGCATTGCAGAATAATGAAACGCATTGTTTCTTTCTCCCCCTGTCTCACTTGCCTCATTTATTTACTTAATTGCAAGGAGATCCTATCTTTTTTTTTCAAATGTATATTTTCCAAAATATACTTTGGAAAGTTAAAATATGTAACTAAATTCAAATTCTCCTATCTTTTTTTTTCAATTGTACATTTTCCAAAATATACTTTGGAAAGTTAAAATATGTAACTAAATTCAAATTCTCCTATCTTTTTTTTTCAATTGTACATTTTCCAAAATATACTTTGGAAAGTTAAAATATGTAACTAAATTCAAATTCTCCTATCTTTTTTTTTCAATTGTACATTTTCCAAAATATACTTTGGAAAGTTAAAATATGTAACTAAATTCAAATTCTCCTATCTTTTTTTTTCAATTGTACATTTTCCAAAATATACTTTGGAAAGTTAAAATATGTAACTAAATTCAAATTCTCAAAATTTTCAGTCATCGAATTTAAAAGTATCTCAATGAAAGTCCATTCATCTCATTCCAGTCAAAATTCAAGTCGCGTCAATGCCAAACGCTGAGACCAATTCTTTACATTCTACGTAGATAAATCGATGTGTCCGTGATATTCCTTGGCAATATCAGCGAAGAAACTTGAAAGCTGAATGAATCGTGCGACAGTGTCGAAAACATCAAAGGCGCCGTGAAAGCGCCTCTCCTTCTATTTCTCGTCTTTCTCGCAGACCGAGTAACCGTAACATTCTAAAGAGTTCCCCCAGTCGCAGTAGGGAAGATTCCTTATCCTAGGGATCTGAAAGGGGACGGTTGGCTACACGACGAAAAAAGGAAAAAAGAAAGGTGGATCGTGGCGCGTGCCACGCGAGGGGTGACCACACCGAGGCTCCTTTTTATTTTGCGGAAGATCGAGTCCACGTATTCCTTTCACCATGGACAATGGGGTCGTGCCCGAAGGACGTATCAGCTCTCAGCCAAGGGCAACGGGCATCGTAAACGATCCATGGAACGCAGCTGCATGTGTCTTTTCATTTCCACGAATTTTCATTTCTCCATTGAATGCGTGATTTTCAGTATACGTCACTAACGATCTTGCATTACCTGTATTTTACAATCAAGAAAATGGATTTAAAAGTAGGGTAAGAAGGAGAGAAAGAGAAAGAAAGAGAGAGACTGCCGCTTTATATATCCTACAAGTCTATCTGTATTCAAATAAAATTTTATCAAACTTCATTGCGATGTTAGTATAGTTTACGGTAAAAAAAAGATCAATTAAAGGCTATGCAATTTGAACTCACATACAGAAATTCCAATCTGCAGGTGAAGTGAGAAGAAGAAGAAACGATCATCATAGATAAGCCTTCCATTCCTAATCAGAATGATCCGTCGTCGAAATGATTTTCCAATTGTCAGTACACATCAAGAAAATCCATACTTCAATTACTAAGTATATTAATTCTGTTATCCAAGTAATTTCAGCTTAAACAGATTAAACCTCATCATTAAAAGGTGAATATTATGTAAATTTATGTAAATTCATATCTTATCGTTTCAACTGCTATTTCTACATTTTATTCACAAATATAATATTTTACATAAACACCATAGCTTGTACTTGTTGTTAATCAACAAAACCAAAGAGCATCGTCAGAACAGTCAGTCAATGAGTCGAGCACGTGAATATTACTACACCACAGAGTTCTCGTCACAATAAGTTCCGAGAGCCGCAACAACAAGTTGCAACCACCTGGCGAGGGCGATGCCGGCCACCCAGTGGCCTCCAGGTGCTCTTGAAACCCCCTGTCTCGTCTCGCATGCCTGCTGCCGAACTGTGAACTTTGTCATTTATTGGGAAAAAAAAGGATCATCGTTGGAGAAATGATCGCGAAACGCTATGCATCTCTTATGTACGTCTCTGTGTGTGAAACTGGGGGGCACCGGTATCGTTCTGGAACACGCGCGAATCAACGTTCCAAAATCGATACGTACATCTGCCGCAACGTAGAGTCTATTGACTCCTCTGGCTGCTCGGAGCATCTCCAAGGCGACTCAGGATGGAACGCGCGGCGTGTCCCGCTTTCCACGGAAATCTCGCAGGAGAACAGACGATACTCCTGATGCTGGCGACTCTCTGGTTTATTGGCACTATAGGTGGAAACGATACAGCACAACCATAAACTGAATTTAGCTAGAGAGTTAAACTTTAGACGTCTTTGTGCAGAAACGCGTAATTGGAGGGATTTTCTCGGAGAGGACCTGCAGATCTCAGCGACGTCGATTTTAAGAAAAAAGTATATTTTTCATACTTTTGCGTGTCACTGTTCTATGCACTTTTTGCATTTTTAGTTTCCATAAATGCATAAAAATACGCAACCCACTTACGCAGTCACACTTATCAGTAGTATCAATAAAAAATTGATAAATTACCGTAGCTAAAAAAAAAAAAAAAAAGATAAATTTCCTTCTAGCGAGAAATGTTCTGTGAATTTCCGTTGTTATGTCTATCATTTTAGACGAGATCGCAGAGAACATAAGCTTGTATGATAATAATAAAAATCTGCAGTATAGTTTATGACATTTCAAATTTAACAAAGGCGTAGATCTTTGTGGCTGATTGTATGTTCTACGAGTGTAAAACACGGTTTATGACGAATGGAATTGCATATTTTTGTGGACACGGTGATTTATGACCGTGGCTTGTTATGGAAATGATTGATAACGGGTGGATGAGAGTTTTGTAATTGGTCATTTCTGGAGTTTGAATTCGACTGATTGCATCATATTATTTCGCCGGTGGAGCCATTTTGTGGAGACTTGGATGCATCGTTCGCAATAAGCAACCCGACAAAGGGGCGTTTCACTTGTGCCGGTTACCGTGTGCCAACTCCGGGCAAAATGGGCAAAAAGTTGCGGCAAATTTTTATGGGTCGCGTTCAACTTCAATGAATTTCGTTATTTACCGCAGTAATAACGTTATCGCGAAAATTTTAAGAGTTCCAAGTGTTTATTACTCCACACGCAGTGATAAATTCTTTACAGTTATTTGAAATCACGTCCTTAATTTCATCGTGTGAGACAATTGTTAATACGTATTCATTTTCTATGAAAAGATACGAATACGCATTTCCTGTACCTGACGCCAGCAACATGAGAGATCAGTGGAACCACAAAAATAACAATCTATCAGCCATCTTAGAAATTAGTCTAAATTAAATTAATATATTTAATTATATATGACAATCACGTGTGTAAGATGTGGCAATGTTGACTATTAGAAAAGCGTGACAAGAAATTAAAAAGAATTTTATCTGAATGTGTGACATAATAATGGACGATCAACCAACGTCATTTCCCCGGAACAGGCGAATTTTACAAAACGCCAATTCCAGCGCAATTCTCTCATCGATGCAGGCTATTAGCTTCCGCGATCGATCCGTGTCACACGACACCGCCGTTCATGGTATACCATTCATGTATCCTGCTGTAAAAAGAGAATACGTATCCGTTCGTCCATGAAGAAAAGACACGACTTTGTGTACAATACGGTCAAAACCACTATACCTACATACCCTCTGAACCTCGACTAACCAAGACAAAGACATTATTATCCAAGAAAAGAAAAAAGACAATAGTTACAGCACAAAGGAGGAAGAGAGACAGAAGATAATGGAAGAAAATTGATAGAAAGAAAGACAAAAAAGGCTGCACGTCGCTGTATCAGAAGGATTCAAAGAAAGAAAGGATAGTAACCGCAGCGCAAGAAACGAACAGAATAAAATGAATGAAAGAAAGTAAGTAATTAGAGCAAGAATATTAAGAAGTGAATTTTAAATGAGAAAATGACAGTGTATGGGCGAAAAGGAGGAAAGAGATGCGCAATTAACACAACAGGATTTTATCTGAATGCAGTGACCACTGTGTGAGAGAGAAAAAAGAAAAGACAATACACAAGCTTTGGAAACAGAAACATTAAACATTAAACATTAGAAAGAAACGATGTTAAATAGTAACTAATTTCAAATGCTCGAAGGGTTTAACAACCCCTAGTTTATAAAGATTTAAGAGAGAAGAAAGAAGCTACGGTCTGAACGAGCGAGGAAACAATACTAAGATGTATAAAATCGTAGATCAAACGAGGAAAAAGCGGGGAAAACAATTGTCCAATTAACAAACCAAGAAGCGAGCGAAACAATATCAAGATATACATACACGTATCCGAGAAACGCAGTGCCTCAGCAGAAACGGCAAGAGAATACTAGGGTAGGCTGTGTGCGAAAGAAAAATTGAAAAGAACAAAAGAAAACACGACAAGATCAACGGGTTGATGGAGAAACGCGTAATCGAAAGAAGGAAGGTAAGGAGATAACGCGAGTGAGAAAGGTAGAACGAAAGAGGGTGCGAGTATAGCAGCGCTTGGATGGCACACAGGTCGGCAACGAGGGGGTGGTTTCGAGACGTCGCGTTGCGGGGCATCGATTTCGGGCCAGGCCGATGGCATCGGCGGGGTATCGAGGGGCGTCCCGACGTGCTGTTGGAGCGCGTCGCGGCGCTGCTGTATACCCCAAAAGTACGAGTCGACCGACAGAGCCGCGCTCCTCTCCGTTCTCAGCCTTCTCCGGCTCTACACTGCGAACGAGGGGGGAGGGTGGGTACTTACACATTTGGAAAGTGGCTGTCCTGCTTCATCTCGCCGTGCCGAAGAGAAAAAGGAAAGAAAGTCTGAGGGGCGTGCGCGCGCGCGGCCGTTTCGCCGCCTGCGCGCGAGTCCGACGTGCGGCTGAAGAGAGCGTTGCGGGCCTCGCACGAGCTCGCTACGGACGTAGCCGAAGCGCTTAGCAGTCGCGCGACCAGAGACCACCGCGTCGTGGTGCTGCCAGCCTCGAGTGCCTTGCCTGCGGCTTAGACAGCGACAGACTTGGCCTCTACTACTGGCTGGCACTGACGTTGCCGCACACGACACGACACGACACGACACGACACGCGGCCTGTGTCCACACCGGTTCAGTTCACGTCGAGTACTCCGCCAGGACGGATCAGCCATTCGTGTTCTCCTTTCGAGCCTGAATTTTTTTAAGTTTGTCGAATTTCTTTCGGATAGTCGGATAAGAATATACGTGTATATGTATATATATGTATACAAATATATGTATGAAAGAAATTGGTATTTTTTTGATATTGGAGAAACGAAAGAGAGAGAGAGAGAGAGAGAGAGAGAGAGTGAGAGAGAGAGAGAGAGAGAGATACTGAAAGAACTGAATGGTAATACGAAATGAAATAGGAGAGTGAGGCGGTTTTGATGAATTATGAAAGTGACGAAGACGTAAGAGAGGAGAAAGACACGGTAGAGACGTGACAAAGTTTCGTATACGAATGCGTGGTGTATCCGGATGCGCCGGTGCACCACCAGCTGCAGCTGCCAGTGCCGCTACTACCGCCACTGCTACCAGCACCGGCGGTGCTGCCTAGCGCTACCGCCGTCGTCGCCGCCGCTGTCTCGCTGGTGCTGCTGCCGCTGGCAGAGGCTCGCAGAAGTGTCCACCTCGTGGCAGTCGACACTTCCTGCCGGACGGTGGTAGTGTCCAGGCGCGCTGGACACACGACGAGCCGCAGCCGGTTGCTGCTGCTGTTGTTCGAACGTTGTAAGGATTAAGACGTGGACGAGCCGGCCGTGGAACAGGAGACGAAGGAAGAAAGAGAGAAAGAAAGCAGGAGATTAACAAGGGAAGAGGAAAGAAGTGTAAGACAGACGGTGGTGGGTGACACGCTGTGCTCTGTGAACTTCGACTCCCAACTTTACGACGAAGAGAACGTTTTTTTGTTAGTGTAACAGCGAGAAAGGGAGTGAGAGAGCGAGCGAGAGATAGAGAGAGAGAGAGAGAGAGAGAGAGTGAAAGGGAGAGTGGAAGCGAGAAAGCGAGTGTGAGAGAGAAAGAGAATTCGCGTGGGCAAAGAAAAAAAAAAAAAAAGAAAAGAAAAGGAAGAAAAAAGAGAGAAGAAAAAAAGGGTTTGACTAGCGAGTGCGACGAACCCTTTCGCTACTCCCTTACACGTACGGGGCTGCACACTCGTGCACGTACACCGCGAGAGCCGCGACGTGTCGCCGGTAATATAGCGTGTACGCTTTCGTTTAGAGGGTTTCTTCCCTCCGACGTCGACGCGCGTAGGAGTGCCGGATCGCACGCGGTGCCTCCTCTTCACCGACGTCGAGTTCCGTCGGGGGTGTCTACCTTATTTCCTTCTCCATTCGTGTTTTCACCGTGACCCTCCAATCCAAGTGGAACCCAACGTGCGTACACGCGAGCACAGAAATGAAAACACCGGACATCCATTTCGAGTACATTGTATGAAAAAAAGAAAAAAAAAAAAAAAAAAAAAAAAAAAANAAGAAAAGAAGAAGAAGAGAAAAAAACCCCAAACTGCGTTTTTTTTCGAGAAAAACGAAACATACAACGAAGAGAGAAGAGAGAGGCGAGCAAGCTGTTTTCAGCGGTTGCGTGGAAAAGGAAGGGGTGGGAAGAGGAAGAGGAAGAGGAAGAGGAAGTGGAAGAGGAAGACAGGAGAGAACGGGATCACGAGTTGGTGGTTGGTGCCGGGTGTGCTGGTGGTGTTTCGGCTTGCGGCAGATCGTGGTGATGCCTCGCAGCCGCGGATCCTTGGGATCGCTGGGTGCCGTAGGTAAGGAACGCGCTGGTGCTCGCGGAGCCGCAATCCCGGTTTGGTACGGCGTCGTTGCGACGAGGACACGCTGACGAGCGCAACCCCCGGTGGCACGGCAGTGGTCGCTTCTGCAGGCCATGTATTACGGCCCGGCAATCGACCATACAATCGGCAGCAGCTGCAGTGCCAGCGACCTTCAGCAGCCGCGATCACCACGGCCACGACGACGTAGACGCGTTGCCGCGGCGCCCGGCGTCGCGGACGACGCCGACAACGAGGACGAACATCTGTATCACGAGCCGGCGTACGTTGTCCTCGATGTGCAATCGGACGAGAACCATGGCCACAGGATTGCTTGCCACGCCGCGCCGAGGCCTGGCAGAAGACGAGCCGGCGGAAACGCGATTAGGATACTGCTGCTCGCCACCGCCGCTGCCTTCCTCGCACTCGCCGTTTCTCCGGGTAAGTTTCACGATTAACTTATCGATATTTATATATATATATATATATATGAATTCGCTCTTTGCGATTCTACGGCGTTTGAAGTAGAGGAATTTTTTTTTTTTTTAATTTTTGGTTGATTTTTACTTTGTTACTGTACAAACAACGGGGAATATCCGGAGTGTAAAATATTATTTTATTTAACGATTGGAGATAAAATGTTGAATGCCACGCGGATCGCAAAGGGTTGAAAAGCGTGGAGTAGAATAGAACGCTTGGAGAATCCAGCGAGGCTATAGCCTCTGCGGAATCAATCGGTGCTCAAGGCCGTTTTTCCCACAAGGGGGTCGCGAACCACCTCCGACGCTTGCGATGTCGGCGAATGTAGGTTTACCGAATATCCTTTTACCGAATCTCTTGCGTCCAAGTTAGCACGTACTTTTACAAAATGTGTATGATGTCGACTTGGACGTAAGCTAGAGATTTAGGAGAAAATTTTCATCTTCTTGGCAGTGATAGCTACGCATTTTATTACGTACGAAAATTATTTATTAACATGTATAATGAATCGATCGAGGATTCCTGTCTTTTAAATAAAATGCTGAAACAGATCATGTCGTGTTCAGTGCTTGAACTTTCGCGATATATTTATTTCTAGTCGCGAAACAACGTACAGCGTTGAATGATTTTCAAATTAATGTCAGCGTGTCAGCGAGATTCGAAGACCGATCTTATTTATTCTATGTTTCAATGTTTCGTGAAACTTCGTGCTCGGTAATGAACAACTACTTGGATACTTGTGCAAAATATTTTCCTGCACACGAGCAATATTTTTAGCGTATTCTACACGTTTCTCTATCTTTCGATCGCACAAGCATTCGCAGTCGAGCGACGAAGGTGAAAGCGTTACTCGTCGAAACTGACCAACTCGTATCTCGTGCGAGTCGAAAAGCTATTGTCGAAAAGCGCTAGGCGTGTTGTCCAGCTGGTCGAAACGCGAAAAGTAAACAGCACGGTTTGTCCGCCAGGAAAATAAGAGAAATATTCATGGCATGTTGGCGCCTGCAACGTGTCCACTCGAGCATGCAGATACGTGTATTATTAAAATGCTGCTGCTCTGTTTCGCGATTCGTTACGCGCCTCCCTCTTTTCACACCTTTTTTTCCCCGTTCTTTTCTTCTTTTTTTCTTTTTTTTTTCTTTGTCTCCTCTTTCTGTCGTCTCTCGCCGTTTCGTCTCATTCATTCGACGCGCCAATGATGGAGAGGGAGGGGGGGGGGGAGGGAGGAAGGAATCGGGGGAGAAATTAAGGAAGATTAATTAAGAGAGGGAGAGAAAAAGGAGAGAAAAAAGGAGGCACAGATGGGCCAGGAGAAGTAGGTGTGCATTCAACGGTTTTTAGGTCGACTTTTTCTTCGGAGAATAGTCAAGTGGCGAGTGGTGACAGTAACCATGTGACGCATTGCGTCAAAATCCAGTGTGTCGAGGAAAACTGTTGCACGAGATTCGACCTACAGCTCGTTAGTTTCCCCGATTTTTCTGGACCGAACGACTCGAACCGCTGCTATTCAGCGTCAGCTTCTGCTTCAAGACCAGGCTGAAATTGAATCCTTGGTGAGCTTTCGTCTCAGCCTGGACTCAACTGTTCTTTTTCATTCTCAGCAATTGCTTCTAACGATTTCTAAAGGGAACTCAATTAACCTTTTCGCGAACGACGTTACGTATATTTGTGACATTCCACTTTATCCAAACGATAAACTGAATGTTACTACCTTTTAACGCAACACCTTTCGATCACTTCGAAATACGTTTGGAGTAACCTCCAAACTCGCTTTGACTCCGGACAATTGTGCTCTTCCCCCCCAAAAAAACCTCCCTCTGATCAGAAGTTATTTAAATACGTGTAAGTTTGCGAATAAGATTCAATGCGCGAACGAACGAAAGACGAAAGATGAAGAAAGTTCAGAGAAAGAGAGAGGTGTGTTTTCCTTGGTCGCCTCTCTTCGCAGCTGATTTGTTCCGGTGGAAACGTGGTCTCTAGACATCGGTGAGCCGCACCCACGCGCGTTATTTATCTCGTCGTCTGCCGAAGCTAAGTGCCAAGTGTATTTTTTCGCATACCATCATTCTCCGCGGCATCTCTTCCCCTCCCCCTCTTCTCATCTCGTTGCTCTGCCCATCCATCTTCCTTCCACTCGCCTATCCGTCTCTATTTCTATCTTAATCACAGGCGTCCATCTCTCCTCGTCTTCGTCCTCATCTTCTACCTTCTTCTACCTCTTCTTCTTCTTCTTCTTCTTCTTCTTCTTCTTCTGCTTTTATTCATTCGTTTGTATTGTCGTTCGTGTTTTCCACGATTTAGAAAGGAGCGAACGATCCACGAATCGTATCGAAGGAAACGGCGGTGGTGCCACTTTTTAAATTTAGATATCGCTGAGACGGGACGATTTATCGCTGTCCTCCTCCCTCGAGGAACGAGGGATATAATAGATTTTCTGCGTCGTTTCTCCCGTCACCTGGCTGCGATAAATTTTTCCTCGATTTTTGATGATACCTCTCTCTCTCTCTCTCTCTCTCTCTCTCTCTCTCTCTTTCTCTCGAGGGAAAACCTAAATCCTCCCCGAGTTGTTAGGAATAGTTCAAAGGGGACCGCTCGGATCAGTGACATGGTTCCGCGGTGAAAATTAAAAGGCTTATAGATGAAGTACTAGCGGCGGAAAAGTTGAGACAGGTTTTACGTAATGCATCATTTTCTAGACGGCCTCTGATCGATAGCCACACTGTGGCGTGCGAAGTTTGCAAAGCTTTCGCTCTGGAGGGGATTACGTACGTCTATATGGTAGAGGGGAATGTTTCTCGACCATGTTCTTTTTTTCTCTTCTGCTTTTTAATCTTTTGCTTATTAGGTAATCTTTGCTTAGCTAGATGTTTTTAGCACTGGAACAATGCTAATGGGTTCCGGTTTTTTTTCTTTTACAATTACTAGGAACACGTACGTGCGGCTTCGTTCTCATTTTTCATCGAGATTGCAACGTGCCACGCATTGTCCCAAGATATGCAATATTTTCTCAGTTTTAAGTATATTTAAGTATAAAGAGGCGAAACAAAAAAAATAAATTTATTACTTTTTAATAATTTCTAGTGATATCATACCGACGAGATCAAAAAGAAAGCGACGGTTAATCTCTTGCGCTGCAATGACGTGCCATGCACGACGACAATATTTTGTTTCCAAAATTGTAATATTTGCTCAGTTTTAAATATATTTAAGTAATACAGACTAGGCAAAGCAAATAATAAATTTAGTACTTCTCAATAAGTACTTCTGTCCAGTGATATCGTACCGACGAGTTCGTAAGGAAAGCGACGAATTATTGTGTACGGTTCGGTCACTCGTTATGGTCCGCAGTCAGTCAGCCGGCGCAAGTGGTTAAAGAGGTACTTGTTTCCACATTAAAATCATTCATTTTTCGTTACGTCTTTGGCCACAAAATGTTATTCTGCAGTGGCTTGAATTTACACGTTCACACAATTAAAAATTAAAAATTGTCTGGCACAGTGACAAAATTTACAATCCCCCTACTGTTTCTCCTCTGTGTATTACACGTCCATGAGCTGACAAGTATCACTAAGTGATTACTCGAACGACACGTTGTCGATCAACTTTCTTTTCAATTAATTTTTGTTAGGGAAAAATCCACGAATCCGGACAAACCTCGAAGATCGAAACGAAAATCACAAAATTAGAATTCAGTGGACGCCGCACGAAGTATAAATAGGCCTTCCCTTCAAATTCATGTTTCCCATTAGCGTTGTTCCAATCGAAAAAATTACAGACACGGTGTCCCACGGGACAAACGTGGGTAAACGTAGAATTCTAAGAAAACTTCTATGGGATTTCTATGAGAGGTCGAACATTCGATGCTCGTAATTCTTTCTCGCCAAGGGTGAGTCAGACGCCATCACCGGTCTCCCCATTCCCATCTTACGAGACACAAGCCAGTTTCCCGATTTTACTTTATCGTAAATTAGATCTTGTCCCTTCTACGATAGATCGATACCACTTTGTCCCCCCTTGTCACTATAATTAACACGTAAGTCTCGATTCTACACTACTGTGTCTTTGAAATCTGAAAGCACGATCGAGAAAAGAAGATATACTCGTTGAGAAGAGTTTCCAATTCGAAAGTTGTCACGCAATTACACTCGTTATATTAATATACAATTATGATATTAATATATATTATAATTGTAATATATAATATGTAATTATAAATATTAATATATAATTTTTAATACTGCATCGTGTCATTTTCTGTACACGTACGTAATTTTATTTAGCGAAGATAATACTCATTGTATTTGTAGAGAAGGTTGCCAATTATATTTGTATCCCTATGTTTGTCTATATAATTAACACGTAATTCCAAATTTCGCACTGTGTCATCTTTGTACACTAAATCAATATAATCAAAAAGTAGATATCTCTATAATGGCTCATGTTATTAATACGTAATTTTTAATATTATACGTGTTAAATTTGGAGCCTTGTCGCAACAAGGAAAGAAGATTTTCTAATTCGAAGATCCAGCTGTTGCCCATTAATTACATAATTGAACACGTAATTCTGAACACCGCACTCTGTCATTTGGCGAATGAATATTAACTTTTACACGACGAGAGAGAAGGTTAGCGACTGTATTCACAGGGAGGTGCCTCCAATTCGAAAGATCAAAATTTTGCCAATTGCATAATGTCCACTTGCACTCTGCTATAGTTCGCTGTATAATTTACGTAGTGATTTCTAAGAAATAGTTACTTACGAATTACTAACTATTAATATATAGTTTCTCAGAATATAGCGTTTGTTGTGAATGGCAACGAACAGTTGGCAATGATTTAATTCAGAGAAATGAAGGCGACGGCGAAATTTTTCACGAATATCATTCTAATGGAATGTTCATTGAAATTCTTCGATTTTAATCGTAATTACAGCGACTTCCGAATTAAATTTCGATCTTT